ATAATTCAAACGTTCTCATAAATGCATGAAAATTCGCAGTCTACTGAACAGAATATTAATTTCAACAAGGAACAGCATTAAAACCGTCCGCTAAATGAGAATTAATCACCCGAACCAGTTACTAACGAAGGAGTTGAACCCGTTGCTGAGGGAGGAAAAGATTCCACCGTTTGCCTCGGATGCCGTATTGGTTCCGGAAGAGTGGGGTCTGAAGTGTATCACGTGGTCCCGGTTTACGTGGTCCCTGTTTCCGTTATAAAAATTTACTCCGGGTTCCTCGTCTCCCGGATGTCTCTGTTATTAAAATTAATGTGTTTACTTGCCCTAGAGTTCTTCATCACTTAATAACTTCGCAATTAAAAACTGTAATAACACGCAGTTTACATTATACTCACGTTTGCTCTAAGTAACGTTACATTGAAGGACGTCGGATGCTGTTCTACTACCCTAAATTCGATTTCACGAGGAAGATATCCGTTTGCGTATACCTGTGAAAAATAATTATAATCATCAGTTCTATCGTATACGCATAGTACACAAGCTTTTTAATACTTTACCTCTAATTTGTACGCTCCTGGCAGTAAAATTCTCCAAAATTCGCCGTACTTCGTCGTGAGAAAGCTAACGTCACGCGATTTTACCTTAATTGACGCTCTCTCGATCGGATTTCCGTTCTCGTCGACGACAAATCCGCGGATACCTCTGTGAGCCTCCGCCAAGAATTTGATCAGAGCCTGAAGAAAGTAATACAACATTTTTACACTGCTCAAAATACTTTTTAATAATTACAAGCAATCAGAATTGCACTTCGCTCTGCTTACAAATAAGTACGTAACTTACAGCGCGATTCTCGTCCCAGTAGAATTGCAAATCGGATGCGGGTGGATATTTGCAACAAGAAAGTTCCAATGTGATCTCCATGCATCCGTTCCAAACATAATTGAAATCCTGCATCCCGCCGGTCAACGGATACCATTGGGCACCGTTCGTGATACCGTTCTTAAAACCTGGCTGAGACGGCGAACAAGGTAATCCTTGGTACATGGATCCGTGATTACGGGAATAGATCAAAGACAAGTGCCGGAACACGTCGTCGTCCGGCGAAATACTGGGCGCCGATGTGTAACTCTGAAACACTAAATTATTCGTACAGATTTTCTATTTATATCTCTTTAAATATGTAGTATTCTAATATTGAATATAGAAATATTCAATACTGATATCCGGTATTCGATGTTATCGTTAAATGTGGAATATCGAATATCTCTGGTTGAAAATTTTAGTAGATATGTATTGTGTATTCACTTTGAATACAAATTTTTTTCTTAGGTATGTTAGTTAAATATACTCTACCTGCACATAACGGCGCTGATCGGCATATTCCTGACAGCATGAAAAGTTATACAATACGATCAGATTCCCTTCGAATTGTCATTAACAATCTTTTTTTTACCGCAATTATATTTATTAATGCAATAAAGTTGTTGCGATTAAAACATGTTTTAGATTTTAGTTCTTAAGGATGTATTGGCTATACAGTCAATCCCAAAAGTTTATGTACTTTAGAAAAACGTATTTCCTATAATTAAAAAGAAATTAGACGT